AAATCATCTAATCTTGACAATATCGATGGAAGACTCCTTAAAATTGCTGCTCCTATAATTTCACCACATCTACCATTCATTTTCAACCTTCTCTAAAAACTGGTTGCTTTCCCTCTTCATAGAAAAGGGCTAAAATTCTTCTTATTTTCAAATCTGGCAAGAGAAATGATCTTAATAACTATCGACCTATATCTATTCTTCCTTTATGCTCCAAAATTATTGAGAAAGCAGTAGCTTCACAAATATATACCTACCTTGATTCTAACAAACTTATTTCTCATTTTCAATGTGGATTCAGACCTAAACACTCAACTCTTACTGCACTGACTACTACCCTTGATTCATGGCTTCATGAAACTAACAATAAAATCTTACTGGCACTCTATTCATTGACCTTAAAAAAGCTTTCGACACTGTTGATCATAATACACTAATTGCTAAATTACCATATTTTGGTTTCTCTCCTCTAACAATCACCTGGTTACAAAGTTACCTTTCTTCTAGATCTCAGCATGTTCTTTTTAGTCGCACATTATCTTCTCCTAGTCCTTGCTCTAATGGTGTCCCTCAGGGATCAACTCTGATCCTAATGTTTATATCGATATGTATGCTGATGATACATTAATTTATTACAGCAATACCTCTGTTAAACTCATTGAACAAAAACTAAACTCTTCCCTTCATCTTCTATCTTCATGGTTAAAATCTAACAAGCTAACTCTTAACATTCTAAAAACTAAATCTATGCTACTTGGTTCTCCGCACAAACTAAAATCCGCTAATAACAATCTTAATCTTCATCTTGATAACCATCCAATTCTATCCGTTACGTCCCAAAAACACTTAGGCGTAATTATTGATAACACTCTAACATGGAAGTCTCACACATCTTCCCTTTGTAAGAAACTTAGCTCTATTATCTATCTTCTTGCATGAACCTCACAATTTACTAATGATTCTACCCTTCAAATACTTTACAATTCTGTGTTTCTCTCTCGCCTTGACTATTGTTGCTCAGTTTGGGGATCAAAATCTACCTCATTATCTAAAGTTCAGAAGATCCAGAACAGAGCCATTCGTATCTTACTGAAACTTCCTCCTACCACTCACCTTACTCCCACTCATTTCAGATCTGCTAATACCCTTCCCCTTCAAATCCGAATTCAATTTCAACTCTGCTGTTTAACTTACAAAGCTCTTCATAACCTTGCTCTACACACTCTTTGTCAATTCCTTAAAAAGATTGTTGCCAATGGCCGTATGACCACAAGAAAAATCACTAAAGGTTGATCTTCTCATTCCTAAGCCTAATCTAGAAATCTTTAAAACTTCATTCAGCTATAATGCTCCTTACATCTACAACTCTCTTCCACCGATTGTCCGTTCTACTTTCTCTTTCTCTTATCCAACCTTCTTAGCTATCTTTCATCCAATCTTGTGTAATTTTCCCTATGGCCATCTGTTTGTGTTGCAATATTTTTAATCGTAATTTTGTTATGTTTTAAATAGTAAATTATTTATCTTTTTTTCTATTTTTGTTAGTTCAATTAATTATCTTCTTATTAATTCTTTTGATTTATTTTTTATTTCAATTATTATTCCGTCCAATATGCCAATTTTTTAAAATTTTTATTTTTAATGTTTTCCTTAAATCATTATTATATATAATTTATATACTGTAGGCCTATATCTTTTTTTTTCTGATTTTTATTATTATTAATATTTTTCTGGTTTAATTTAATTAATTTGCTTATGTTAAAGATCAAGTTTAATTTTTATACTTATGTTTTAATTGTATGTACTGAGGGTCCCAATTGATCAGCTCACCACCACCCTCACAAAATATAGTTGGAAAAAAAAGTAAATAAATAAAAAATAAAAATAAAGTTTCTATAGAATTCTATCTATATCCACATTAATTTTTTTTTTGTTTCATTCAATATTTTATTGACACATTCTTGTCTGACCAGTAAAGTTCTACCAACATGTTTTACATCTTGCATATTCTATAGAAAATCTATAGAATAGTCTATACAAATAATATGACAAGTTCTCTATAATAAAACAAATTATAAAATGTGTTTTTATCTGTAAAAAAAATTTGTATAGAAAGAATATATAAAATCTATACAAATCTTTAGAGATTTTGAAATAATATACAATTTTTTTGCAGTGTAAAGTATATTACTATTTAACTTTTTATTTTCTCTATAGAAACTATATATATATATATAAGTTTGAAAGGCAAATGGGAAAAACCCATGAAACAGCAAACGGCCATATAATGCAAAAACAATTTAAAATTAAAATTAAAACGGAACAGTAGAGAAAATCCGATTAGAATGACAAAATAAACTAAGCATCCACTCGAAGGAATCACAATATCTGCAGACGGATCCGTTTCGGCCTTCCAGGCCTCATCAGTGCAGCTAGGGTACAGACCCAAACGAAACGTTCGACCAGCTTAGGTAGGGCCCAAACTAGTTCCACGACCACTAATGATTACAGAGCCAAACCAAGGCAATATATATA